AAGCCCCTGTGTGTACGAGGGGCACCGTGCTCCCCGGGATGGTTAGTGGCTGGGTTGCCAGGCCTTTCTTCCTACACGCTTCCATGTGGCCCAGAGCTGCACCTTTCAGTCAGCAGCCCCGCCGGTGGACTGGCACTGGAGATGGAAGCCAAGGTTTGAAAACTCGAGGGGTGCCGCAGTGATCGAGCACTGCCGTACCAGAAAGAGCAGAAGGGAGAGGCTTTGACACACGGCAGTGTGCTTTCTCACCGTGTCTTGCCAAGTGCCATCGAGGCAATCCCGGCCCACGGCGCCCCCAGACGACAGAGAGAAACACTGCCCGGTCCGCCGTCCTCACGATGGCGCTGTGCAAGCCCAGGGTTGCAGCTCTGTGTCCGCCCATCTCCCAGAGGGCCTTCCTCTTTTCTGCTGCCCCTAGTCGAGGAGGTCCGTCCGAATTCGGAGCACCCGCTCTTGAGGAAGGCTATCCATGTTGACCATGGGGAAAGGCCCTTACCTCCTTATCTCCACTTCCACGGACCCGGCGACCCTTTGAGATCTCCATGCATCTTGGCAGCCATCTGGCTGAGTCTGGGAGCTTCCCAGCAGAGGGACCCTCGGTCCGAAAGGCGCACTTGGCTCCTGGCTCTTCTTGCTGGGTGCTAGTGAGGTCTCTCTGATCTGCACTCACTAGTTAAGTCTCTTTTTATATCTCGAGAGACATTGACTCAAGATACAGCCCCATCCCGGAGGTAGATTGTCTTCCACCCCACTAACAAAGCTGCCTCATTAACATCGCTGAGGATGATGACAATGGACCACAACCTGGGGGCTGTAATGCTGCCCCAGTTGATACACACTTGTTTGCTGGTTTCTTTGGGGGAGAGGGACCATGATTCAGCCTGTAATGAGGAGGATGCTTTTATTCATGTCCGTGATGATGCGCCTGGTGGCTCTTCCCAGGTGATCTGCCCCCTGACCACAGACCTGTCCATCTACGCCCGGGATGCCATGGCGAAGGCTGTGTACGGGAGGACCTTTACTTGGCTGGTCAACAAGATCAATTCCTCTCTGGTCAACAAGGTTAGTCAGCACCCTTCGGATGACCTGCTCTTACCCAGGCTGTCAGGTTTTGGGATCAGTGTAGCACTACGTGAGGATTGGCGTGAGGTCCTCAGGGGCAAGGATGGTGTCTCGCCACCTCTGCATGTCCAGTGTCCTGCATACAGTCGGCCCACTCCAAGAAATGAAAGATTCGATGGTGTGTTTCTGTTAGATCAGTCGTTCTCAACCTTCCTAATGCCGCGACCCTTTCATACAGTTCCTCATGTGGTGACCCCCCAACCACAAAATTATTTTCATTGCTACTTCCTCACTGTCATTTTGCTGCTGTTATGGATCGTCATGTAAATATCTGATAGGAAGGATGTATTTTCATGGTTACAAATTGGACATCATGAAAGCATAGTGCTTCATCACAAAAACTATGTCATTCTATATTATAAACTATTTATTTCGGGCTGCTTTCTGAGGACGGAGGAGGTGGAGGAGGGGGACACTTTCCCTCAAAGCATCTCTGAAGCCCCTCATCGGATCCATCTTCTCTCCCTGTCCTCCCCGCTTTCCCCATCCCTAGAATCTCTTTGGGATCATCGCCAGCGTCCTGCACCTGGGGAATGTCTGCTTTACAGAAAACGCCCACGGCTGTGCCACCATCCCGGACACCCACGAGATCAAGTGGGTGGCAAAGGTGACGCTGCCCTTTGGAAGAGGAGAGGGGGAGGGGGCGTCTCTCTCCGAGGCAGGGTGGTGGAAGGGGGCAGGATGCCAGGGTCCCACTCAGCAGACGCTGGCTCAGAGCGGCAACAGCGGAGCAGGAGAGGGAGAGATGGGGAGAGGATGTACACTGGTACAGATAGGAACCAGAAACACAGGGAATCCAGGACGGATGATCCCTTCAGGACCATTGCTGAAAGGTGATACCGGGAGGGTGGGGTAGAAAGAGGGAACCGATCACAAGGATCTACCCCCTCCCTGGGGGACAGACAACAGAAAAGTGGGTGAAAGGAGACGAAGGATAGTGTAATATGACAAAATAATAATTTATAAATTATCAAGGGCTGTGAGGGAGGGAAAAAACGAGCTGATAGCAAGGGCTCCAGTAGAAAGCCAATGTTTTCTGAATGATGA